GGATTTTTCTGGAATCAGGGATTCCCTAGTCTGTGGTGCAACCAGGATCCAGCAGGCCCACCCCAAGGGCCCCACATTTGTCCTCAAATGTCTTAATTAGAACTTGATCATTGTTTGGCCTAAATTAAGTACATCCTTTCCAAATACATTAGAATCTTAAAGATTTGGATTCTAAGTAGTGGTCCCTCATTTCTTCCCTTCCAGTGATGATTTCTTGGACAGATCTCTTAAGGTTTCTATCTCCTACAGCAGCATAAATGTCCAAAGAGCAGGATCCCAGAAACAGTTCTCATTGTTTTTTAGGAACTATTCACACTCATATGTACAACACCATACCTGTATTTCCACCAATGCTGTGATTTCTTTTGGACTCTGTGTTTCCATAAGGCCTTAGTTAAAATGTACATGTACCTCAGGATGAGGAACTCCCATGGCCTAAGCACATAGTAACTCATTACACTGACATGGATACTGTGATTCACAAGAGGCAATCTCTCACGGACCAGAGCCACAGGTAAAAATTTGGGTGGTCGTGCTCTGGGTGAGTGGGCTGGGTTTTACCCAGAGGGACATGAGGAGACTGGCAAAACTCATCTTCCTCCACTCACTATCCACTTCCTGTTCCCCTACCTTTCCTCTCCTGGATTGATCACTATCGACTTTAGACACGGTGTTCTCATCATTCCAGAACTGAAATTGTGCATTGTTCCTAGGTGGAAGCCATTATCTACTGATGGACCGGGTTTCTCAGATTCTTCAAGATCACGGCCATAATATCACCATGCTTAACCACAAAAGAGGTCCTTTTATGCCAGGTATCTTTTCTCACTTTTCTTGATTTCTTCTACTCCAGGCAAAGAGCAAAATATTGTTTGCATAGAAAGGCTTAGCAAAATTTTTTTTAAAATTCTAATTCAATTGGAAGGATGAAAAGCCTGTGTGTGTGTGTGTGTGTGTGTGTGTGTGTGTGTGTGTGTGTAAAGTGCCAAAAAGCTTCTTAGGCTCTAATTACCAGGACTTGACACTCCATACTCCCATATTTTTTTCCCCTTACTTGACCTCTACTCCATCCCAAGCAACCATCCACTCATTATTATGGATTATTTTAACAAATACTACTTAATAAGATGGCTTAAAAAATATATTAAACAGGGTTGGGCAAGGTGGCTCACACCTGTAATCCCAGCACTTTAGGAGGCTGAGACAGGTGGATCACTTGAGACCAGCCTGAGCAACACAGGGACACTCTGTCTCTACAAAAAATACAAAAATTAACTTGACATGGTGGCACCCACTTGTAATTCCAGCTACTTGGGAGGCTGAGGGTGGAGGATTGCTTGAGCCAGCAGGCAGAGGTTGCAGTGCTGGGAATGCACCACTGCACTAGAGCCTGGGCAACAGAGTGAGGCTCCATCTCAAAGACTCTCTGTATATAGATAGAACAGAAATATTCAGCCTTATTTAACACTTCTTACATGTAAGAATCACTTTTCTTTTTATAGATTACTTTTCCTCTTTTTATGATATCGGAATGTAAGTAAGCTCTCGCAGGGAGCCCCTTATTTATGTAGCTAAGTTAGGAGTCTATGGCTGAGATGGTTTTGCATTCTTGAAAAATAAGTGGCTGCCCACAAGTTTGTGCATAGTGATTTCAGATATTCTTAATGGAGTCATTGAATCCAAAGAATTTTAGCCAAAATGAAGCTCATGCATCTTATGAACTCCTCTGTTGATCCAAAGGAAACAGAAACCCTGAGAACTTAACAGACTTGCTTGATAACAGAGTTGGGTGGATTAGGACTTTATGCTCCAAATTGCTCAATATGAAAGTGTTGCTCCAGGAAAAGTCCAAACTCCAGCATCATGTAATACACCCAGGCAACACACCTGGACGTGCACCCCCTGAAGCTATAATTTAAAAAAAGAAAAAAAACTCAAAAGCAAGCATCCTTGAGGAAGAAAATTCTGAGATATTTTCAACCTTTGAAGGTAACATCAGTCCTTGTTATTGTTCAGATTTCTAAAACCATTTTTTTTTTTTTTGAGACAGAGTCTCACTCTGTTGGCCAGGCCGCAGTACAGTGGCATGACCTTGGCTCACTGCAACTTCCATCTCTCGGGCTCAAGCAATTCTCCTGCCTCAGCCTCCTAAGTGGCTGAGATTACAGGCGTGTGCCACCATGCCCGGCTAATTTTTGTATTTTTAGTAGATCTGGGGTTTCATCATGTTGACCAGGCTGGTCTCGAACTCCTGACCTTAAGTAATCCTGCTGCCTTGGCCTCCCAAAGTGCTGGGATTACAGGTGTGAACCACTGCGCCTGGCCAAAACCATTTTTTAATCTACATTTTTTCATTTAAATTTTAAAATTTCATTGTGGTGAAATATATATAACATATAATCTACCATTTTAGCCCTTTTTTTTTTTTAAATTGAGTCAGAGTCTCGCTCTGTCTCCCAGGTTGGAGGGCAGTGACGTGATCTTGGCTCACTGCAGCCTCCATCACCTAGGTTCAAGCGATTCTTGTACCTTAGCCTCCCAAGTAACTAGGACCACAGGCGGGCGCCATTAGGCGTGCAGCACCACGCCTGGCTAATTTTTTTGTATTTTTAGTAGAGACAGGGTTTCGCCAT